CAAAGTACTATTTAAGAACAACCATTAAAACCATACAGACATGTATGGGACATGCAGACTTGTAATGTGCCTTAGATTTTGTAAGTTTTGTTTCAGATTTTGGCACTGATAGTGAAATTGCCAAACAATTTGTTATATAAGTTACTGATTACTGATAAGATGCTTCCAATTGTGATTACAAACATTTTGAGTAATAGCACAATTATTTTTCAAAGTATACATCAGAATGTCTGGTCACATCTAATTCAAGTCTGAATTTTTCAGAAGCTAACACTAGGAGATATTAAGATTTAACTGGGAAGAATCCTGAACTTTCTACTGGCAGGTACAATATAGAACTTCCTCCCTTGGGAGCATGCTCAGGCCTGCAGTGCACCTTGTCTTCATTATTTTCTAAAGTAAATAATTGTATTTTGATAAGAATACAAACAGCAGTATCGATGAGGTCAGTTTTTTCAACAACTAGGAAGATAACCATTCTGATTACTTTCAGGTTTTAATGATAGTTTTCAGCAGCCAGCAACAAACATGAAAAGTCATGGCAATCAGGAGAAGTCCCTGGTGACCGAAAAAAAGGCAACACCACACTCATTTCTAAGAAGGGTAAAAAGGATGATTCTGGAAACTACCATCCCATCAGTCTTACCTCTGTGCTGGGAAAGATTACGGAGCAGATCCTCCTAGAAGCTATGCAAATCCTGTTTGACCAACCTAGTGGCCTTTTATGATGGTGTCACTGCATCAATGAACAAGAGAAGAGCCACTGATGTCATCTATCTGGACTTCAGTAAGACCTTTGACATGGTACCCCACAACATCATTCTCTCTCAATTGGAAAGATATGGATTTGATGGGTGGACCGTTCAACAGATGAAGAACTGGATGCAGGATTGAGTCGAGAGAGTGGTGGTCAGTGGTTCAATGATTGGATAGGGATCAGTGATCCAGTGGTATCCCACAGGGATCAGTGCTGAGATTGATACTCTTTAATATCTTCATCAATGACATTGACAGTGAGGTCAACTGCATCCTCAGCAAGTTTGCTGATGACACCAGTCTGTGGGGTGCAGTCAATACACTAGAGGGATGGGATGCCATCCAGAGGGACCTAGACAGGCTTGAGCAGTGGACCTACAGTTGAACCTCATGAAGATTAACAAATCCAAGTGCAAGATCTTGCACCTGTGTCAAGGCAACCTTCACTACCAATAAAATCAGGGGGATGAAAGGATTGAGTGCAGTCCTGCCAAAAATAGATCTGTGTGTACTGCTGGATGGTAAGCTGGACATGAACCAGCAATGTGTCCTCACAGTCCAGAAAGAAAGTCGTATCCTGGGATGCATTAAAAGAAGCATCATCACAGGTCGAGGGAGGTGATCTTGCTCCTCTGTTCTGCATTGTAAGACTTCACCTGGAGTGCTGCATCCAGATGTGGAGTCCTCAGTACATAAGAGATATGGACCGGATGGAGTGTATCCAGAGGAAGGCCACAAAAATTATCCAAGAGATGGAACATCTTTCCTACAAGAACAGACTGAGAAACCTGGGACTATTCAGCCTGGAGAAGAGGAGGCTTTGAGCTGACCTGAGAGCAGCCTTTCAGTATCTAAAAAGGACAGAAAAGAAAAGAAAGGGGCACACTCTTTAGCATGGTCTGTGTGATAGTACAAGGGGAAACGGCTTCAAGCTTAAAGAGGGTAGATTTGGGTTGGACATAGGAAAAAAATCTTCCACAGTGAGTTGCTGAAGCACTGGAACAGATTGCCTAGCAAGGTGGCTGATCCCTGATGAGGTTGAATCAGGCCTTGGGCAACCTAATTGAGCTGTGGATGTTCCTGTTCATTGCAGGGGAGTTGGACTAGATGACCTTTAAAGATCCCTTCCAACTCTAAGGATTCTACGATTCTAGTTACACAACCAAAAACATCTTCAATTTATTTTAGTTTTTTGAAAGGCAGATGGGAAACATTTTTCATGATATTCCAAGACCAGGAATGTATCATTCTTTGACTTTTTATTGTGCATGACACACCGAAGTGATAGTTTATAAGCTTTCTCGTGGAATGCAAACACCCAGGAAACTAGTGTCACATTCCATAAAAGAGGAAGCCTCAGACTGCAATTTGCACTTTTCCAAAGATGAATTTCACATCAACTCCCTATACACCTTTTTCTTTGAAAAACATCTTTCCCATCTTAGTTCTCTGCTCCCAGATAGGAGAGCCAGCCTTGGTTTGTTCATCCATCTGAATCCATGGGCTTGGCTGGACTGTGACACTTAGATTCTAAGAATAAATGGCAAGCTCAAAAAACAGTTCAGCTACTGCTGTTCTATCTTTGAAAACTATTGAGATTACTTTCTTTTGTGGGGGAGGGGAATGTTGGCAAGTGATTGGAAGATCTATCACAGAACACCTTCATCCCGAGTGCCATCTGATGAGTGTGCAGACAGCTAGGTTCTTCTCACCCTATTTTTTTTCAGTTTATTTCCAGAATAATTATTTGTATTACAAGCCCAAACACCAGAAATAGCGATGATCATGCACATTTATAGAGAAGTTCCATGCAAGGATAACAGCAGGTATACTAGGGTAATATCCAAATGAATGGCTGCATTAATTCAGAGTACAACCTCTCACAATACCCATAAAAGAGGGCTTCCTCCAGCTCACCAAGAGATGCTGCTAATGGAGTACAGAGAAAAAAAAGATCAGTAATATGATCTTGATAGAAAAATCAAGCCACTCACTATTCCCATTTACTTGTGGTTTAGCCAAGGACTCATCTTGCTCTTTTATTTCTTTGAATGAGAAGGCTGGAAGAATAGAAAAATCCTCAAGGAGCCACAAGCTACTTCCTTCTCCAACTGATTTATTTCCTCTCATCATCCTAAGTGGAATTCTCCTTTTCTGTTCAACAGGCTGAGGCACTGCTCCAGGGCATGATAGGGCCTGCACCTGCTTTCCAGAGACACCATTAACTCTTGCTTTTCTAAATTGTCTTGTATATAGCTTATCATATATATAGAGAGAGAAACACCAATAATAATAAATCTAATTTTTCTGTTAAGCTGTTAATGATCCCGTTTTCAGAATAAATTTACCTTACAGCAATGCTACCAGGCATAAATAATCTTATTTTTCTATACATTCTTTGAAATTTAAGTGTGACAATCAACATTAAACACTGCAAGACCACATTTATAGTATCTGCTGTTTTTCAGAGCATCAGATCTAATTTAGCAAGACACTGAAAACAGACCATTGAAAAGCTTCTGTTAAAGTATTCAGAAAATAGCTTTTTCTTATATTAATCAAAATGCTACTAGTGATATGCTAAAAATATATTGATATTGAAAATATAAAATACTGCATCTATATGAATGAAGAAATGAAGAAAAAAGAGCTGATTCAATATTGATATTACAAAGCAAACTTTGTAATGAGACTTTGAGTTTTTATATCTCTATCACTGTGCAGTTCAGACTTGTGTTACTTGGATACAGAAAAAAATAAAAAAGCAAGACATTCAAATCTTCCAAATATGTTTCCTGTTAAAATAAGCAAGCATGTTTCTTGAAGACAGGAAACAAATTGAATTAGAAGTCTTATTAAAAATGAAATGTAATAAATACATGTATTAAATTTATCCATTTTTTTGTTTGGAAATTTAGACAATGGTAGAAAAACACTTCATGTTCCTTTTGTAAAAGGGTTTTTGTTTTGTTTTGTTTGTTTGTTTTTCCCGGTACAATTAACCACTAACCAAAAGGTTTTAGTAATATACTTTGGGACTTTTCTACCTCAGTGGTACAGAGTTCTTTAAACCTTCCTTGGCACATATGCAGACAGATCTATAGGGCCACTTTATCTGTTGAGCATCTTAGTCTTGGTCAAATAAATGGCACAGACAATTATATAAATGGAGTTCTTGATTAAAAACAGAAACAATATCTCTGGAAATATGAAAGTGATTCAGTTCAGTTGCTCTTTTTTAGCTGAAACTGTAAGCCAAATACAAACTGATTATGCAGAGATCTATCTAATGAAGTTGGTAAATAAGTATGAAGCTCATCACAAATGGAGTACTATTGCAACATTTCACTGAAGTTATTATCTTTCACTTAGAGCATCACCGCAGCTTTAGTACTCCTCAAAACTCTGGTAAAGCAACTCACCCTCTTGGGAAAACTCATTTGCTTTAAATATCTTAAGTCTGGTGGGATGAATCCCAGCAGTAGGGTTCAAAACCAGGTCTTAAGTATCAAGATATTAAGTCTCAGCAAAACTTTTCCTTAAAGTTCTTTCTTTCAAAATAAAATAAATTTATATACTGCAGTTAAAATTATGCTAATACCTTCCTTCACTTCTTGTAGAATATTTTGTTGTTGTTTTTTTCCTGTAGCTGTATTTGTCTGTTTGAACTAACCTTGTTTTGACAGGGAAGGTAAATATGCGCTAATTTCAGCCAGAAAATACAAATTTTAGGACCAGAAATCGACTACATAACTTCATTCTAAGAAGTGCAAGTTTCTCATGTCGTGAGTCAAATGAGCCACAAATGTAACATCTTCAGATTCAGTCTGTACATTTTCTAAAATGAATAATAATGCATCTGAGTAAAAATGCTGGGATTACGATCTGTTCATCCACTTCTTATATCCTCAGAAAAAGCATGTATTTGGTCTATCAGTTATTTACGTATTATAAATTTTCTTTCCTTCACAGCACTTATTTCAGGCTGTATGTTTCAAATTATATCTTTATGAGAAAAATAATCAAGCTACTATTATTTTATCCGCAGTAGTTTTGCTTTGGAAATTATTGAGCTGAATAACTGTGGAATAACTTCTGTGTTTATAATCTTCAAAGAATAAATAAGATCACAAGTCAAGTAAAGCAAAATTACAGTTAAATATTAAAATTAAAGCAAGATTAATTTTCTAGGAGTAAAAAAAGAACATTTTGAATGTAATTGTACTTCTTCCCCTTTATGTCAGACATCTGTGATTAGAGGAACCTACCTTGGTCTAGAATATATGAGAAAAGGAAATGGAGGTGATGGAGGAGTAATCATTAATATCTCATCATTGGCAGGTGAGAATATTTTCTATATAAACACTTTCTATTCAGTGGATCAATGGATCATACCGTTTGCTCTGACTTTTCTCTTTCTTACTATGGTTCTTCCCTGTTCATTCTCATTTTGAGCTAGCTTTCATCACAGTAACAGAAATGGTAGGGCAAAACCTAACTTGCCTCAATTTATTATACATTCTCAACACTATTTAGTAACATTCCTAAGTTAAATAATACATACTCAAAGGCAGGAACCATAATCTAATTTATAGACCTAAGAGAGTGGTAACCCTAGGTCCTGACTGTGGATGGGCATGACTGTTCTGAATACATTAAATTAACATGTAAAATGGGTTTTTGCAAGGAGAAATCCAGTCCACACTATTGACAAAAATCACACGGAGGATCTGATTTCACTCATGCACATGCTTCATATGGGTGAGGGGTTCTTTAGCAGATGGTAAGTTCATCTCCATTAGCTGAAACTGACCTCATATCAGGACAAAATTAACCTGAAGAGAACTGCTATTGCAGTAAAAGATTTCACCAACACAAGTAAAAGATTACACATTTCTAGAGAAGTGTTGATGCACACAGAGTGCTTAAGAAAGGGCAAGCCTGGCAAGAAGTTTGATTCTGTTCTAACTATTCTGAACTGATTAAAAAGATTTTGCTTTTATGATCTAACAGTTTGGGTTTCCTCAGTTTGTATCATTATAATTATTATAATTTTCATTTATTTAATTTACATTATGCTCTAACTATTGCGACCATCTATCAGAAACAGCCTCCTTTGCTCTGTTTGCTTTTACAAGTCTTCTACATAGCAACTTCTTCCTAGATCGTAAGGAAAGCCACATTATAAAAGCTGACACACACTAACTTTTAATAGTTTGTTTATTTTTTACTGCTCGTGCTTTGTGACTCTAATTCTCCTTTACAGTCTGAAGGTCTAAGTCCCTAAGCTCACTCCATATACAAAAGGCAAGCTGCCATTGGCTTGTTTAACATTCCCTGCAAGTGTTTTCTTTTCTCAAAGCTAACTTCTGTTAATGATTAAACTTTGGAGTGGTTTTAATTCTATCCCCCCCCCAAGCCAACTCCTCTATAAGATTATATCAGCTGTGCTCTGCAGACAGACAGCAAGTATTCCCATGTCTTGTTGAGCAGCAAAGAGAGTTACGCAGTTCTTGTGTAACATTCAATAATGTTTGCTTCATGCATTAATTAGTTCTTAACCATGGGAATTCTGCCAATGATTGAACTAGAGACTGAATCAAACCTTACTATTTTATGCTTCCAAAGAACACCCACAGACATACTTAAATGCATCCTATGAAATGGATGCCATAAGTGTTTGGCTGGGTGTAAGCCATAGTGTTCACCATTTCTTTCCAATATTGGATCTTCCTTTCTTTAGAGCATCCCTGCAAGACAGGCCTAAATGTAGAGAGAAGGAAATACATAAGCTTGCATAGAAAACACTCAGCCCCTAACTCAATTTTTCTCAAAGCCATGAAACAATTTTACAGGATCTATGCATTCAGATCAAGAGGAAATAGTTTCACTAAAACTCTGAGACTGTGAGAAAAAATACACTTTTCTGCCAGTGTACTCCCATAAAAGAGAATGCCAGTTGGGACAGGATTTTGAATACATTGTAGTATACTTAATTTCAAATTTTAAAAGTAAATTTTTCTAAAACCCATTCTGTAGGAAACTACTTATGTTAATTTTTTTTTTTTAGAGAGAGTATACAGAAACAACGTGAATAGCACAAAACACTAAATTTAACTCCTGAAATTAATTACATGACTACATTTCACATCTTACATTTTTGTGACTAATACATATATGCTTTTGGTAAATAAAGAATTTGTCTGTGCAAGCACTTGCTTTGAGAGCTTTCATTCTTTTATGAAGTTGTTCTGTAAAAATTGAATTTCTATTTGCCTGGATTCTACCAGATTTAAAACAAACAAACAAAAGCAAAGTACTTATAGAGACAAAGTAAAATATTTAGCTTAAAACATGCCAATTTAGATTGCTTAGTGAGAATTTGTTTGATGTGTAGTCTATCTGGCATGTACAACTGCTGTATAATAATATCAACAGTTTGATTTAACTTCAAGCACTCAGGCTCCACACGCAGCCAGTTTCCCCTCTTACAGAAAGCTTCAGCCAAAGGAAACGTGTAAAGCATTTCTTCACAGCAGAGTCTTCCTTAGGATATGAGATATATGTATATATATATATATATATATATATATCACAAGAACAGAACTATATGGTTAACTTCATATGAGTAAAGACAAGACTGTATCACAGTAATGGAGAAGAGTAAAGGTGCAAACAGTTGTACAGTTGGATAGCCAGTTCAGCATCATAGAAGAGCTTCTATTCCCTCTCTTATTTAAATTAAGAGTTGCTGAGCAGAATCTATCAAGACAAGATTAGAAAATTTAGAAACTACTCCCTGGAGACTTTGGTTCATTGTTATGAAGTTACCTAAAAATAATGCAGTTTACAATTTGCTTTGGTTTTGGCACAGATCACAGCTGACACAATGAACATAATCTTTTATTCCTCTATACTCTTAAGAATAGAATATTATATAAACCCCTTAAAATCAATTCCCTTATCACTCCATAGGGCCATCATGCCTCTAGCTCATTTTTTCTGCTTACATAACTGCTTCTTTTCAAGAGGCTTTGACCTTCAGAGAGTGTTGTGAGCGTATCCCACACTGCATACTTTTGCCCCAGGGTGACAAAGGACATTTCTGTGATGCGGTTTGAAAAGACAATTTAAATAAATATGGCTACATCCTGTGTTGTTACTTATTTGTAAGTATTCTATATGTTACAATGGGCTGTAGTTATAATTCATAAAGCAAATCTAATAGAGAGGGGAAACAAATTACTTTCGCAATATTTTCCAGTGTAGAAAATATGCATCCAGAGATGCACTCTTATGGCTTGCATTAAGATAAGTTCCATCAGTTACCCAAAACTTACACTTAATCTTCACCTCTTTCATTTAAAAAATGAAATAAAATTACAAATTTAGAATGGAACAAGATATTGAGGTTATTTAAAAAAGTGAAAAAAATTTGAATAATTATTGGAAGTAAGCTGCATAATCATAGCGTAGAAGCACTGCTTTCTAATGAGCTCAAAGCCTCTGTAAGATGAACAGCCATGTTAGAAAGCAGGCTTTGTTTTCTTATTCTCTACAATATGCTCATACAAACACGAAGGACACTTCTCAAAGAATTAGTGAAACAAAGATGTTATCAAGTAGAAACAAAATCTGTCTCAAGCTGCCTAACAGTGTGCATCCATGAAGAAAATAGAGGGTAGAAAGGTCATCAGAAAGCTTATAAATCTTACTCCAGGAAGGAGACTCATTCAAATCTCAAAGGACATGTTCAGTGGAAAAGCATACCTGGAAAAAAAAAAACCACCTAATTCTGTATTCATTAAAGCTCTTCAGACTGTAGAACAATTGTTTCAGCAAAGCTTACTGATACAATTAAAGCTTATTGATACAATTCTCCACATCCCATAAGAATTTATCAAGATGCAGACCATGAAACTTAATTAAAACTATTGACCATGATAAACAAGGAGCCGTACTGAGAAGCCTGATATCTGAAATGAGTCCTGACACCTTACCAAGGAGAGGACTACCATATAACCAAAGGCACAAGCTGCCTGTCATCCTACTGAGAACTGAGAATCCAGCACAGGATTATTGCTGGTCTACTCAAAATATTTATGGTAATCAAAAGAGCACCTTCAGTCATCATGAAATCATTTCAAGTTCACCAACTAGTTCTTGATTGAGATCCTGTGAGGAGGAAGGAAGTTTCTTGTCCCCTTTCATTGTAACAGTTCTGTGCCATGACAAAACCCAGAGAGAGGAAACTCCAGGTATAGTTGCCTCCCCTTGCCCCAGCACGCACTGCTTCTATCATCATCCATTTGAACATTCTCCCCACACAAATTTTTTTGCAGATAATGTTCCCCGGCCTGTTTCAGTGATGCTGTTTCACTTTGCATAAGATAATTAAATATCTACAGAAGCAGCAAATAGAATCCAGATGTTCTAACAAATGAATGCCCTAACAAATACGCTATGAAAAGATACTCATGAACTGGCTAAATATTCAGGCAGAACAGAATCAATGTCACAGAGCTGTTCCCAAAATATTTTCCAGCAAAGCCCTAGGACACACCGTGAACAGATAGAGCTTCAGAGCTCCGTGGGGCTGGGGAAATTAGACACTGTGGTACTGGGTGCAGAAGTCAAGAACAAAAGCAAGACAGGGGTGCTGTTGTGAAGGATGTGAGGACTAGCTTTTCACTGTTACTTGTTACTGATTTGGCTGAAAGTGAGTTGATTTCTTTATGGTTCTCCATGTTAGCAAAAAATAATTTCAGTTATTCAGAATAGCTTTAATGTTTTGATTTAACCAAAAAGATGTGTTACTTGTTCCGCTCTTCCTGCCAAGTTATTCCTGCTCTCTTATGACATTTAAGTAAGTCTTTGAACCTTCTTTCACTTCATTATAGTGAACTGTACCCTTCCTTTGTTTACTTCTGGACTTTCCTTTCCTTTTCAAGTAAAGTAACTTGTCTTACTATACTTACTTGTCTTAAAAAAAAAAAAAAAAAGAAATCTTTGAATTCTCCCTTTGCATTTCCAAGTACATTTTGTCTTTATCATGTCCATTACCTGTGGCCTCATTGGGATTGTTTTCATCTTTAAAACAAATAAAACCTCTAAAAGGCTGAAATAATAATAATATTGTAATATTTCTAATGAGACAGTATTCCAGTGTTTCCGATTATCGCCAGAATGCTGATGATGGATGACAATCAGAAGTCATCAGAAAGGAATATTGTAATCACAATCCACAGGAAACACCGTGGAAGACATTTTTCAAAAATAGATTCTCAATCAAAAGTATAATGAATCAGTGCAAGCTAAGGACACAACTAGTTACAAGGTTAAGTTGCTCATTTCCCATACTGAACAGTGCTGCTTTCACTGGCTAAGCAAAGTGGCATTTAAACTAAGACAAAACCTTGAATCTTGTCATGGTTACATTTAAAGTTTTCGTAGTAAGTCCTCTGGACAAAGTGGATTCTACAGCAAAGAGCCCAAACAAGTCTCTTAAATGTATATTTTTCTGGCAAATCCATACTTAAGAGCTGAGTATTGTATCTATCATCCACTGAGATGAGAAACACTCTAATTTTACCATTTAAAGATATGAAAGGAATTATTTCGTTGAATTTAAATATCAAGGCATCAAAATCAAACTTTACAATACTGTATTAAGGAACACAAACAAATATCATCCTTTAATTATAGAACAGGCAGTGTTTTGCTTGCTTTTCATAGGAACTTCACATTCAAGTGGAACCAAAGCATCCACGTGGTCCAGTTCAGCTGTTACTGCACAGTAGATATTATTGGCTTAATGTTTAAAAAAGAAAACATATAATATGCACAATCTATCTCTTCTTTATCAGTTTTTTTGCCATCAAACTCAGCATTACTAGAATTAACTTCTTAATTTTTCTATCAAGGTCTCCACTCTTCTTATTTTACTGTAAATAATGATTTTATGCTCTTCCTCTCCCACCACAAATGTTCACTATTACAGCAGTCACTTTTCAGTTTGCTTCTCCTTTTCCTTACAGAACACATCAGTGTTATTGCCAAGTATTGTTCATTCTTTTTTCTGTCCCCTGCTAAATATCATGCTGGATTTTCATTTCTGAATGGGGGCCACTGTAGGAGGTACCATACAGTGAAACTCATTTCAGACAATCTAACTTAGTGTAGAAAATGCTTTGAGAATATTTCCTATCCACATCTCTGCTTTCGTTTCTTTCTGCTCAATAAGGATTTCATCTTATTTCTTCCTCAGTTTTTAATCACTCATCTCCATACGCTCTGGTACAGTTCATTCGTTTCTTAGTGCTTTTTCCATTTGCTTATTGCAGACTGGTTTCCCTATTCATCTTTTCTTAAAAAACATCACTTATGAAATACTATTGGAGCAGCACTGTAGGTAAAATAAATCTTATAGTACCTCTGATTACACATTAAGTCTGAGTTATTCTGTTATACTTGCTTCTTTGAGCAAAACCCACTATGCAATGTAATTTACTCTTTGTTGTAATTCAAACCACATTATCAAATAAACAACAACATCATTTCATGGACAGTTGAGCAGCACATTCGTTCCTATCTCTCACTAGGATTTAGGGGAAAAGTTTTCTCAGTTTTTGTTGTTGTTGTTGTTGTTTTGTTTGTTTTTACTATCTGAGAGAAATAATGTAAGCAAGGGATTTAAATCCGACATTTTATTTATTTATTTAGTGAAGTATTTCTAGCATAATAGTAATTCAGTTACAGTAGCCAAAATTGACTTTGCTATTTCTCTCATATTGACCCACATTCCTTCCTTAAAATCACTGCAAATTAATGCAGGTGTCCAGTTTGTGTAACAGCAGTTAAGGATTCACTAATGAAAGTATCTGAACGACTTTACATATATCGAGATTCTTAAAAAAGGCTGTAAAATTCTTTTTCTTGAGAGTTTCCTTTCCATGTTCTTTCTTAGGTCTTGTCCTCTATTTTTGTCTTACTTCAGAGACAGTACTTTTATCTTAAAATTATACTTTTTTTTTTTCCATTATTCCACCCTTGACTACCTGTGCTTTCATCTATTTCATCTATTTTTCCCCACTTAACTTAGATTAAAAAACAGAATTTGCAGATTTTTAATAAATTATTTTGTTGCATTTCTATGAATTTGATGAAAGTTGATCACTTTTTTTTTACATTATTAATTACATTTGTGTTTAAGGTCATCATAAGTAGGGGTACCCAACATCCTTATTCAGATAACTTTTTATTTTAAAGGACTCATGCCTGCTGCATTCCAACCTGTGTACTGTGCTACAAAGCATGGTGTAATTGGATTTACACGCTCAATAGCAGTAAGTATATGTTTTTGAAAACAGTATCAGCATCTCCTAGGGAACACGCTGTTTCTCATGCTTCCTCCTCTTTTGTCACACAACGAGAACAAACTGTCTTAAAGCAAATGAAGAATCCAAAGTGCTAGAGGGTCCTTCCTTTCACAAAGGGTATCTGAAGATGGAATAAGTAAATCGTTTATGATCAATCTGAGTTTTAGAAAGGTTTACTGAGCATAGGAGAAAGAAACTGTAAAATATTTTAAGGACAGATGGAAGAGCCCAAAAGTCATAAAGTCATAACTCCATTCCAATCATTTAACATTTTGCTTTTCTTATTTTTAAATCAAACTGAGAAGAACATTGTAATTATAAATAGGTTCTAAAGTGTGGAAAAAGTGACTAGAACATAAATATGTTGATCGTTATTTATTCTTGCCAACTCTTAACACACTAAAATGTAAAAACACATTCAGGATGGGACATGTTAGATGTTACATGAGCACATAGTAAATCTTACTCTGACTACAAAATTTTCCAGTTAAGTTGAACAAGCTGCATGAGAGAATAACTTGGAAAGAGTGAAATACAATTACACTTTCATGGGTTAAGTTAAAGGAGATAGCCCACTTATAAAAGGCTTTCACCCTAATTTCCAGAATAAAGAGCCTGAAATAATCATTTGCATGGTTGTCTAGAGTGTACTGCCCTACCCTCTACAGAAATCACTCCTTTTTAATATTAAGCTAAACAGATGAGTATGGTTAAGTGTTACATATCACATAGCCACAACACAATCCTGAAACCTGGTTTTCCAGGTTCACTTTCTTATGAGAGAGTAATTAAACATCATCATGTAAGTTCAAAAATAAAGGGATTTGCAGACAATTAGAGTAAACGCCATCTCTCTGCTGAATATGAGAAAATGGAGGAGAAAAAGAAAAATCAGCACAGAATCATTGTACTTACCAGGGAATGCAGTACAGCCTAGCAACGTGGAAGCATGATACAAACTATATAGGACTTTTTCTTTTCCAGTCCAAAAATGCAGGCTACCTTATCATGAAAATGAGATAGGATTTACATAATGTCAGGCAGAGTTTCTGTTAATGTTAAGTTACTTAGCTACACAATACTCTTTAAAAAAAAAAATGTTGATGTTGAATTCCTAACTCCATGTTGAATTCCTAGCTCTCTCTCTTTTCTAGTTAGCTGCTAACATGGAAAACTATGGTGTGAGACTCAACACAATTTGTCCAGGATTTGTCAACACACCAATTCTTCAATCAATAGATAAAGAAGAGAATATGGGACAATATTATTCATATAAGGATGAGATCAAAAATATGATGCAGTTCTACGGTGTGATGGAGTAAGTCAAATCAGATACACTGCTTTTTGACCTTTGTAAATAAAGAACAAGTTTGCATTTTCAATTAATTCTCAGCAGGCAAAATTAAAATAATAAAAGGGAAACGCTGCCTCAAATACAATTCTATTAATTGTATCCTATAAATAAATAAGCAATGGCAAATACTTAAGTCTATTTCAGGAGCATCGTCTATGTGGTGATACTTCCCCTTTATGCATTGCCAGTTCCAGCAAAGTGCAAACCAAATTCCTGACTTAAAGGTGGTGTATTAGCTTTGAATAGTCCACTCCATAAATTTGCTAAATGAAAATCTTTATGAGATAGAGAGAGTATAATTTGTATTTGGTTTCCACAAAATTTGGACACGAGACAAATAGAAATCAGACGAAGTACTGGACTAAATTCATAAATGTACAGCAGCAACTATGTGGATCAGATTAAAGTTACCTAGTCCATTAGGAAATTGCAAAAAAAGGCCAAAAGCCTTTCTAAAAATGAGAACAAGAAAAACCTGAAATGACATCTTAATACTTCCTCAGTTTCTTAACAATTAGCTGCTCATCTCCTTCCACACAAAAGAAACCTGTGCTGTTCTGCCCAACATTCATATTTAAAATATCTATTTCATCTGTTGAATATATCCAACTGATGTGACAAAGTTCTCCATGCACTAGTTTGTATCAGTCCTGCTACAAAAAAAACTAAATAAAAAAGCAGCAAAGTGCTGCAGAGAATCATGTAGGGGCTACTTCTGTCCATTGCCCCAACAGAGAAAACCAATAGGAAGCCAAGAAGTAAGTGGATAACAACAGGAATTTAACAGTACCTGCAGCAAAGACTAATGATTTGCAAAGTTGCAACTTTATGTTCCAGCTCCTGATTAAGGAGATTGAATTTCTCTCCTAAAACAATAATATCACCTTTGCTTTTCTGAAAACAAATACGTTCAAATATCAGGTTAAGTTTCAGGGTATGTAGACTTACTTTGTGTTTTTATAATTACCCTTTTCACAGTTTAATTATTATTATCACAGTCTATTTCATCATTATTATTGAATAATAGCCTCTTTTTTTTTTTTAGCCCATCAATAATTGCTGAAGGACTGATAACAATAATTGAAGACGATACTCTGAATGGAGAAGTTATGAAGATTACAGCATCCCAAGGGATTCATTTTCAAGAATACAGCCAAACACCTTATACATCAAAGAGATAAATCAAATTGTTTTACTCTAATTATCTTTTGATTTTTAAAATATAAAAAAATGTTAGATAAACTTTTGGAAAAAAGGTTAATGGTGTATCTAAATCAGTGACAGTATTCCAACATTCACACCCCAATTGCAGAGATGGAGAAGAAAATCCAATATGGGAAAAATGTTATCAAACTTATTTTGATTTCATATATACTAGTATATTTTATTCAATAGAATATATGCACTGCTCTGAAGATTTCTGATTGTATAATAACAAGGGCCAGTTTTTTCCTTCTTGTAGTTCTGTGCAATTATCCAGTCTGTATACTCCATACATATTCTGGTGCACCTGACTTTGTACATTTACTTCTGTGAAAAGAATTGTATTATTTTTTACATCTTGAATTCTTCAAACCAAGATTTCAGTTCAGGATAAACCTTTAAAAATTAAGAACTTACTTTTTCTTATATGTACACAGAAAAATAGAATAAGAGGCAAAATTCTTGTTCCTCATTTAAACATGCAACTGAATATGTAGCATATCATACACAGAAGAACAGATTTTTTTTCCTCTGGAATTATACCTATTTATAAACTACTTCTAAAATATTTGTTTTCTTTTTTATATATAAATATATGTATATATATATGAATTTTCAGTCTTTGTACATACAAGGATGACTACTTTGGCATTGATTGAAATGTCTATTTACTCATTAAATCTCACTTTCTGAATCTTTAAATCTAATTTCCTGCCTTGACTGATTAAAACCTGAATTAAATTCTGAGCAACCTGCTTGTTTCATATTTGTACATATCCATTTCGGTATCATAACACTTATTTTAGATGGAACGTATCATACAAAGGCAACAGAACTGAACTGATGGGTTTCCTACTTCCTGTGCTCCCCTAGAATTTCTGAATCCAGTTCAATCCTCAAATATAAACATGAAATCAACCTTGGTATGCCATGGGCTTCATACCTGAGTAAAATGCATTTTAGTACAGTAATTTATTTAGATTCATAGCATAAGATGATGTAATAATCCCTATGAAAGCTGGAAAAAGTTAATAGTTACCTTCCTAGGGAATACTGACTTTAATTTCACTGATTTAAGCATTGCTTTTTTTTTCCTTCAGTATTATAACTAAAGAATGGAAACACTAATATTTATCTTCTGTGGAAGCAAGTAATAAGACTGCGGGGAGAAGAAAAGAAGCAGATACACATACCTTGAATTACTCACCATTCTTCCCTTGCATCTATTTCTGGCTATGATAATACAGATATTTTTAAAGCCTATTTTGAACAAAAACATGATGCTAGCCATGCCATCAGCATCCCTTAAGGCATCTGTAGATCCCTCTGGACTAGCATCTACTATCTAACTTGATTATATTTATTTCTACATTTATTTCATTAATATCAGAACACAATATAAAAGATCTGAATATTTCCTACAAAGTAGCACTAAAGACGTGATGTAAGAAGCTAGTAGCTTTGTTAGTCAGGTCTTAACACTGATAATTGCCTACCTCTGTTTCTCTCCTTGTTAAACCATAATGCGGTCCAGCTTACAAAAAAAAGAAATGTAAAACAATAATGATAGCATATGTAAAACCATGCACCTAGCAAAAATTACACTAAATTGGACAGTAACTCAGCAGTTGCTATTAATAACTTACTTCAAATACTGCTGAGAATATTGTATGATATCAGCACACTACTTCTGGCATACTTTTGCTTGGCTGCTTTTGTTAATTTTTACTCCTTGCTGCTCCAAAAGAAATACCTGTTAAACTTGAAGGATCGAGTTTTCTAGGAGATCAATGAAAAACATAACATTGAAGGGTGTAAGTAATAAAAGGTCAAAATTTTGATGCATGCTCCCAGGGGAAAGAAATACAGAGAGGAAAGAAATTTAAAGTTAATTAGAGAAATCACTTCATTGTGTTGCAAAATAGGCTTCTTGTACAAAATTCTAAATTTGTGAACAGATAGGATTCTAAGAATGGATTCAGTTTACATGGGTATCACATAATAACCCAAGACAAAATTAGATTAATAAAACACACAATTAGATTCCAGGACACCCGGAAAAACTGAAGCTATGTTCAGGAGAAAAAAAAAAAAAAAGCAACAAAGCCGTCTTTCTTTTATGTATAGATCATTTCATCTGGATTATTTTTGTAACTCAGAGACAGAAGTTTTCAAAACACAGCCATATAGAATGCCTTCATGAAAGGTAGAGACTACATTCATTTCCATCTACTAATCTGATAAGGAAGTCTCAGAATGCAACAAAATTATTTGATCAAATAAACATTTATACTAAGATAAATCTTGAATGATTAGCACATCTAGAACTCACTGAAAGAAACAACAAAATAACAAAGAACTAAACCTCTTGATGCAAATTCTAACAGGAAAATAGCTATAAAGTCTCTATATTTAATTTTTAAAAATGCCCCAAACCAAATATTGTATTTTCCAGCTTCAGTTAGTCTGTATTAAAACACATCTGAGGGTTTTATCTGCACAGGAAGAACAAGCCCTAAATATGTTTTGGAAAGGTTTCCTGGAAGACTTCCCCCCAACCTTTGGAACCCTTCCAGACAGCAAGAGAAAGAGCATATGTCTGACTTACAGACAGAAACACCCAGAGTAGTAGTAGGCAGAACGATTAATTAAAAGGTGAAAGTGAGCTTCATTTTGCACAAAGATTGTTTTGAAACTCTTTCTTCAGTTAAAAGTCTTGACATAATTCCAAGACTTATTTTATTTTGCTGGGGAGATCATCATTTTTAAGGCAAACATTCCAGTTTTGTAGGAAAATTCAGCCAAGAGAAAAATAAGTATTTTAAATAAGAGATGTTCATTGTCAAGTACATAAAATGACAAGTAGTAATCTAGATTAAAATACTGCTCATTAGTTGTAATGGACATTGATGCTATGGTTCTATAAGATATGTAATAGAAGTTTATTTCTCAGCATGTCCTTGCAGTCTCAATTAGGAACCTTTTAACAGGAAAGAATATATATTACTAGTGAACTTCATTTTTTTCAATCCCACATGGAAGCCTAAATCACAAGGCATTTCAACCTCTATGCAATACAGCAGTGCTACTTTATGAGCATTATTTAGACCCTTGATTCAAGGAAATCTTTGTGTAAGGGTATGTATATCCACAGTCATCAATGTAATTATTCTTATGTACAGATCAGGAACCCAGGATTGACTTGCTTTATGCATAACATAAAATCAAGTGTGTATCAGTGAAGGGAGAGATCAATGCAGAAAATAGTCCTCCTTGTTTCCTTCAATTAAGGGAGTTTTGATATGGAAGACTAGACCTCTTTCTCTTGTTTGGAACAACATCTTTGCAAATAGCAAACCAAAAAAAAGCAAACTCAAACTGTTTTCCACTTGAACAATCTTCAAGGGCACAGCACTAGGTATGCCCTAATGCTATGGCTTTTGGGCAGGAGGTTCTTTGACAGACAATGATTTCTTTCCTCCAGCACTGAACTGCTCTAAACTTTCTACAGGATGGTTCTCCAGCTTAAACTTCCCTTTTAGCCAACTCTATTTGCTTTCCATCAGGAGATGCTGACAGTTTGCAGCTCCATCTCCAGAACTCCAGATGGTTCAATGAAAGTGAAGGATATCATCATATGACATGCTGTTTTGGATTTTTTTTTTTTTTTTTTTGCCAGTACAAAAAAGGAACAGTTTAATGTCAGGTCAAATCTGTAATTTAAACTGATAGGGACAATAAACACGGAGAGTTATGCTCTTTCTTTCAAGGGTACAATAAACAGGAAGAGAACAAGTCAGGTACAGAGAAGTAAGAAAAAGGGCTAAAGAAAGGCTAAACCTACAACAGATCTCAAAACTAATGAACTTAATACCATTTCTTATATTGAAGACCATTATGTTGAGTTGTGGATGAAGTCTAAACCTGAATGTTTTCTGATTTTTATAGAGAGACAATCAAACATCATTCTCAGGGATTCAGAAGACAAGATGGAGATCATGAGTAAAAATCCACCTTAATGAAAAAATGCTTTAAGCAGTGAAGCATTCTCAACAGTTATGAATTCAGGTCACTTAATTATTCATAAGCTGTGTTAAGTCACTGTTGGCACTGAGCAAACTTCACAGAGATTACCACCACTGCAGAGGCAGAGTTGATTTCTTAGTATAGAATTGCACTTTCTCAGCTGTTGCTTTTATCAGAGGCTCTCTAGTCCACTTACTTCCATTCACAAAAGAGGTCACTTGGTAGGATGGTCATCTAAGGACAGGTGTGACAACTGCAGATAGGTGAGACAAAGCTTCTGGATGGCTTAAGGCTCTAGGCTTAGCCTTGTGAAGCAGAGATGTATTGTAGTCATATCAAAGCACAATGTGGAAGATTAACTGGATGTTCTGATCAAAACCCCTGACCTTGTAACTGTCCTCCTCTGATATCTCAGCAGTGTTCTTCTTCGTGATGCATGCTTGTCTTAGCAGCAACAATCTTGAGAAACTAAAGAAGAATAGGAAATAGGACTCCAAGTAACACATCTTTGAACTTCTTTTTTCCCGTAGTACAGGAGAATGAGCAGACTTCTGCCTGCTTTCAGAACAAGTTCAAAAGTAACTTTCAGTGCACTTTCCCACAGTTGCAAACAGAACCTACAGAAGAGGAAGTAAAACCATTTTCAAAACATTTAAATTTAAAACTGTTCACAAAAATAGCTATATTTTAGCCCAAATGACTAACACTTCAGACTCTTGTACTCTTGTTCTGACCTTTAAGAGGTATTGCAGCAATTAATATGACAGGCAGTTAACCTCACATACACATGATTGCTGCAGTTCTCAAAGCCTACAGATGGGCAGAGAGCACAGAAATCTCTATCATTTATTATGGTACAGCTCTTATCAAAGTGAATTGCCTTCCTGGGATAGTATCCTCCTGGCAAATTCACTTCAAACACATAGAGTATTCCTTTAGGGAGATCTTTTCTTCTCTGCCTTTGTCAGGCCATTTAAATACACTGCCCTCAGCCATGCTCACAAATTAGTTGACACTTATCTGAAAGATTCCTGTTGTTTTGATACAAGAGTTGCTTTCCATGGTATGCGTTAATGAAAAGCTAGAGAAAACAGGTATCTCTTCATACGTGCCCATTGCTTGCAATGAGTGTTATGCCAAGTACTTCATTTTATACTCACATTTTCCTCAAGGTAGGATAGTGCATGTTGACACCAGAACTACTATGCTTTCACTTTTACACCTTCTGCACACGTATTATATACACCACACAACACGTGTATGTATTTATATATCTACACACTGGCAGAGTACACATACAGTAGAAATTATCTTTTGTTCTAGAGAAACATACATTATCTATGCAGGTGCCCGAAGCTAGTAACTTTTCCAAAAGTTGTAGAGCATTTTTCAGTGACATTCACCAGACAAATTTGTTTGGAGTTCAGAGAATATGATTAAATCTATATGAGATACGTTTAAATCTTATGACAAGCAGCTGAGGGAACAGGAATTGTTTTGTCTGGAGTAGAGGCTCAGGGGAGACATGCTTGTTCTCTACAACTCCCCGAAAGGAGTTTGTGGCAAGGTGGGGATTGTCCTCTTACACCACGTAACTTGTGATAGAACTACAGAGTTTGGCCCCAAGTTGCACCAGAGGAGGTTCATGTTGGACATTAGGAAAAACTTCTCCAAAAGAGTGGCCAGGCCTGGAATGGGCTGCTCAGGGAGGTGGGCGAGTG